AGATCTTACTTTCAAGCTCATCCCATCACAATCTTGATCGGCTAGCCACTCGGAAAAAATCCTTTTTAAACTAGACATATTTGAAAGCCTAGTTTGGTAAGCTATTGAGTTGGGAGAATTTGGACTTTAATACTAACCCCGGCTGATTATTAAGGCACAAACACTAGCCAACATATATGGGAGTGTGATGGTATAGTCTTTATAACCTAGATCAAAAAGTGTTTGAGTATGGATTTTGTTTTAAATCATCCTCCTCAAATAATGTAATTGAGTAAGAAGCACCGATAACTAACCTTGGTTTGAAAAGAGCTATGAAGGCCTACGTCTTATATGTTCATAATGATTCTTAATTGATAGTGGGACAATATGAAAGGCATTTTGAGGAGAGAGATCCCTCTATATCCAAGCATTATCAATTGATATTGAAATATCTTATTAATGTCAAAAAGGAAGGAAAGATAATTGTCATTTCCTAAATCCTTAAGAAAGAGAATACATGAGCAAATCTCTTATCAAAATTGGCTACTACCAACCATGTAGATTTTGCAATTAGGGTATGGATATAAATTCTTGAACGAGCTTAACATCAAAGAGCAAGATGAGCTTGTTGTAGATTTTATAGTCCGTTAATCTACTAAGGAGAATTTATGAATGTTAATTTAATAGTATTTAAAGAACAAGACACTCCTTATAGATAGTATACAAGCCACTCACTTAACAAGATGGACAACTAGATATCACTTATTTTTGTACAACTATTGGGTTACTTTTTGGATGATGGATAAATTGGAGATGTTGCTTTTGGATTTTAGATGTTTGGACACATAAGTTATCATGGTGGTGCTAGTAGTGAGGTACTTATAGACTATGGCGTTACCAAGTGGAATTGAAGTTTATCATATCATTTATTTTTTGGATGGGTTAGGGATAGATGTTTAAGTTTTCTTCGGTGGAAGTAAGATGATTGAGATTAGTCTTTGAGCGACCTCTTGATAATGGTGAAAGTTGCATCTATATTCCATTGGTGAGGAAGGATATTATTGAGTGTTTATGACACCACCGAGTTGTAAAAAAAGGCAAATAAGGGTTGGTGGTGTATTAGGATTAGATTAGTAGTATGATTTGGGTTAGACTTGAAGACAACATGTTTTTGGTTAGGATAGGGTTGTTTTTATAAGCATTTGGGATTTTTCTAGTTAGTTTTAGGAAATGTTTATAGATGTAGAGAGCTTTCGATTATGTTTTAGTGGTAGTGAATTGGTGGCGATAATCTGTATGAGGGAGTTGGTTGGTTGATGTTACAAGTCGTTGTAGAGATACAAGTTTTGAGGTTTGGAAATTTGAATAACGATCATGGCCTAGTTGGCTAGAAGATTAGGGTTTATGCTAATTTTTATGTTTTTTTTTTCATTTGGTTGAGCTTTTATGTACATTTGATTGACCTTATCATATTTAATTATGTGTGTTGTTTTATGTTTGGTTTAGGGTTGGTTGTTTAGATTTGGTGTCTTTCATGCAAAATTATGTATCTTGTGATAATAATAGTGTATTTCTTATACTAATTTTGTATTCACCCTTTTGAATGTTTTTATTAATGAATCTCAACTTATAAAAAAAATTAAATGTTAAAAATGATATCGAAGTTAATTCTTAATTCAAGGTTTAGAAAAGCCAAACTAAAGATAAAGATGATAAACACACAAAAACAAACAAATAAACTATAATTGGAAACTACTTAATAGGCTTATAATCAATCAATTTGTAAATAGTAGGCAAATTATAAATTTTTTTGGCTAATAGATTTTTATTCTCATGATCAAATTTCATTTACTTGTCCATCATTGTATCTTGCTATAAGATTATGGCTAAAAAAACCTCATCTTTGTGCATATTGAACCCATGATTTTAAGTCTCTAGTTTCATTATGCTTTGTGTTCTAGTTAATTTTTATGATAGAATTGAGGTGTAAAATCTAGGTTTAAAAGTTTATATTGTTATTACTTTAGTGCATGAGTGATATAAATGAAAAATGAAGGATTAGACTAATAAAATCTACAAGGTTGTTCGTACAACCTACTTTTTAATGAGTTTGGACAAACACTATAGTTAGTCATGTTCGAGTTAAGGTTTACATGATAGAGTTTAGTAACTATAGTATAGTTAATTGTGAATAAAACCATTAACAACACATGAGAAACAAATTATTCATTTCATCAATTCATTGAAACAATGGCCTCTATAAGCGAGTAGGCTCAATCTTTATAGAGTAGAAACAAAATTTAAATTGAATATCATAAAGTGCAAAACTTTTTTTGATGTTGTTCAATATATATATATATAATTGTTAATTACTGATGGCGTGTCGTAATGCTAACAAATTAGTAATTTATATGTGTCCTTACGGGGCTTTTAATCACGATTATGTTATCATGGCAAGTAAGGATCAAACCCATATGGAAAGGGAATCGATCAATTGCTTTGGGCGTTTCTATGTATGAAGGAGGGGGTTGTGTGTTTGAGATGCTTGAAGATAATATAAAGTAATAAGAGATAATAGTATGAGAGTAGCCATAGTTGAACTTTAGTGTTCACTTTTGATTTGGTCGTCGATCATTGATTAAATAGTTAACTCATCCTAACATGAATATTTACCGTAACACAATAATATGTATATTGATTCCAATCTTTCCTTACGTAATCATTAATTGAATATAAGATGCCTAATTAATTCCCTAGCTATTGAACAACCTCCTAAGCACTAGATAGATTTAATCTAATAATAATATTAAGTTAAGAAAGACAAGTGAAGCTAAGCCACCTTTCTAATTGTTATAGAAAATGTAATGCGGTTCTATGTTCTTCAATGAATTAAACGAAAACATTACTAATCATCAACCCCGAGTTACTACCACAAGCAAGTTTAGATAAGCAATTACACGTAATTGGATACTTAGCTAATAATAAGCAATATAAATGAACAACTAGTGTGCATTCTAATTGAATTAATTATACAACTATAAACCAATCATGTAGAAAAACATAAAATACATAATAAAGATAAGTTTAGAAATAAAATCGGTAATCTTACAGACAATTAACCAAAAGCTTTAACGTGATTCAATCAAGAATAGAGTTTAGTTATTCATAATGTAATACAAGGAGAATTTCTATTAATGGTGGCTATAGAAGAGCTAGGCTTGGAAGAGAGGACAAATAATACCCTAACTTTACTATTTATATCCAAAACTAAGTTTATCTCATATTTTGTGTCGACATTACATTATTTTATGACTTGATATGTAAAGTCACATGGTTTGTTGGTTGATATCACACGATTTGAAGCCTTGAAAATTAAGTTACACATGGTTATGTAACTTTGTGTACAAACCGTGTAAAAAGCCTTCTACCCATGTATACCTTCTCTTCCTTAGCCATATGTGTGTGTAGTTTTACATTGCAAATCATGTAAAACGCCTACCGCCCATCTAATCTTTTTTTCCCTTAAATGTTGTTGGGTTTAATCAACCACATGGTCGAGTGGAAATGATTTTACCCATGTGGTTTGTTATGTTTAAGACTCTACACGGTTTCCTCGTTCGAGTCACATGGCCGATAGCTATTTCATTTGTTATTTCACATGATCGTGTGACTCTTCTAAGACTCTTTAAAGTTTTTCTCTTTTCCCCTTTGGTTTTGGGGTTTTCTTGTTTCGATTCGTCGTTTTTTTTCTACAAAACCCAAAATTGTCATTTTGTTCTTAAATAACATAATATAATACAATAAGTACTAAAAAGTTCAATGTAATAAAGTATAAAAATCATGCTAATTATGCACTCATTAATTGCTTATAACATACTTGATTGCTAAACATGTTTTTCTTATTCAATGTATGGTAAGTGTTGTATTCTAAAAAAATGAGTTATTTATGTACAATTAATCATTCATATAAAAAAAATTAAAATGAATATTAGATAAGAAAAAATATTTTGCAAATTAAAATAGGAAAAGGACAAAATAACTTGTATATTTTTAGGGGTAAGTAACTCACTTTTTTCTTATATGATAGCTTAGTTTTTAATTTGTCTTTACATTTCTAATTGCAATTATTATGTTATTAAATAATATTTAAATATTTAATTTATCCTTTTAATCAATTTTTTCGACCATGAATAAATTTATCAAAATTTCCTTTGATTGAAATGTTAAAAAAAAAAAGATTTTAAAAATAAAACATATAGGTTATATGATTTTAAATCATTTTTTTATTTGACTTAGAAGAACTTCAATCAATTTTTTTTTACGATCCAAAAAAATGATTGAAATAATATATTAGAAACTAAAATAATATTAAGAGACTCGGAATATATATATATCATTTTAGGCTAAAATATAGGATAATTATATAGAATTAATTTACTTTGGAGATAATTTTTGTTTTGATTAATTTTTGACATAAATTTAAAAACATATTAAAAAGGATACTTTTATCAAACATTATGTTCCCACAGGTTAGATCCTTTTATATACAGTTATTATTGTCATAGTTGTGGATAGGTTTTGTAAAACACATATACATACTTGTCAATGCTTACACACAAACAATCAAAGACGAAGCTCTCTTAATATGTCCTCCTTTGTCTTTGCAATGTCATAAATTTTCTAGCACATTTCATCGATGACGACTCAAGAAGATTCTAAAACGTGTTGATTTGAAGGTACACGCATCCCTTTACTTCATGTAAAAAATTAAAATTTTGAGTACCACTTAAAAAAAAAAAAAGGTGTTTAATGATTTATGGATACCGGAGGAGAGTTTTTTTTTTTTTTTAAAAAAAAAAAAACGAAACTGAGAGAGAGAGAGAGAGAGAGAGACCGCTCAAATTGGGAATATTAGACACGGTAAAACAGTAACCACGCGGTCCAAGACCTTATATAAACCCACGTTACCACTTTTTCCTTCCAAAAAATCCAAGCACAAGCCTACAAAATTTTTTTCAGTGATGGAGTGGGTAAGAGGTCAGTGCATTGGCTCCGGCAGTTCTTCCAGGGTTCATCTTGCAACCCTAAAACAACCTTGTTTTAAACATCCTTTTCTGGCAGTGAAGACTTGCGTAGAATCTGACACTGCTTTACTGGAGCACGAGAGGAACGTTCTCAAGGAACTTGGTTATTGTCCACAAATCATCCAATGTTTCGGCGACAGTCATACCGTTGAAGAAACCAGCGAGCCTCTATACAATTTGCTGCTGGAGTACGCTCAAGGAGGCAGTTTATCACACAAACTCAAGAAGTTTGGCTGCTTTCAAGAACTTGATGTAAAAGATTATGCAAGATCGATTCTTAAGGGTCTGCGTCATATCCACGACATGGGTTTTGTTCACTGTGATTTGAAACTTGAAAACATGTTGTTGTTTGAGAATGAAGAAGTAAAAATTGCAGATTTTGGGTTGGCAAAGAAAGCAGGAAAGAAACAGGGGAGGGCGGAAATTAGAGGGACTCCTCTATATATGGCCCCTGAGTCTGTGAACAATAATGTGTATGAATCAGGGGTTGATATCTGGGCTTTTGGGTGTGCTGTTATTGAGATGCTGACAGGGAAACCAGCGTGGAATTGCAAGCCAGGGACCAATATGTTTGTGTTGTTGATTAGAATTGGAGAAGGTGATGAATTGCCAACAATACCTGAAGAATTGTCCCAAGAAGGCAGAGATTTTGTGTCGAAGTGTTTTGTTAAGGATCCTACACAAAGATGGACTGCTGAGATGCTTTTGGAACATCCTTTTGTTGCTGATCAAGGGAAAGACACTGTTCCATTGAGAAAAGAAGAAAGTGAAGAATTATCAACATCACCAAGATGCCATTTCGATTTCCCAGATTGGGTTTCAATTCAATCACCATCACCAAGATCAGAGTTTTTGTCCGATGATAAAGTGGAATTAGTCTTTCCTTCACTAAATTCTTCTTGTTGGGTTTCAGCAGCAGATAGAATCCGGCAACTGGCTAGTGATCAGTGTTGCGATTGGTCGGATTCTGGATGTTGGGTCACTGTTAGATGAGGCAGAGTTGAAGCAGAGAAAGAGATTAAAGCGATTAGGAGATAACTTTTCATTAACATCCACCAACTGATATTCATTTTCTTTTTTTTTTTTAGTATACAGACAGAGATGTTCCTTTGAGCTGCTTTTTAAGCTTAGGTGAAACAGTCATGATGGGTGGCTCAACCGGCTGAGCTTACTGTACAAACCAATTCTTTTGTTTTAGAACACAGTTTAATTGCTTTCCCAAGAAACCTTGGTCTTTTTTTAATTTATTATTAAATACCTTTGTGGTCGAATTTTTTAATTGTTTTTACAGTTGGTGGCATGAATCACAGCACTGTTCGACGCATGATTGATATGATCTTATTGTGGATGTATTTAACCATAATTTGGTTTCTTTTTGGTGTGCTTTAGGGTAAATTCTAGTCCTATATAATCTTTTTTCTAGGTGTACTAGAAGCAGAACGAAATCTTTTAGGTCTGAAACTCTGGATTCTTTTTTTGGTTTGGAGAGAATTTTAGTCCCCATTGGTTTACTTGGTTGAAAAGTAATTTTCTTTCCTTAATCGGATGCGAAATTGGCCTAGGAACTTTCCTATTATCACCAAACAAAAGTTTTCCTTCTTTTTTTTAATGGGAAAAGGCCCAACTTATTAGACCTACAGAATCAGGGAAGCATCCAGGAAATTGTTCTCTATAAGATACCTTAATGGCCACCGTCATTGTGACCTTCTTCAGGAATAGTACGTAGTGGAACTTTCTCTCCCAGTCCATCAATGTCCTTTATTGCAAGATTGAGGCAACGCAGCAAGAGACAAAATATTCTAGGTAAAAACAGGCCACCAAAATCACCACAGTTAGTTCATGACCGACACCGGTTGCTGAAAGAGAAAGAATGGCCAAGTCCAACTAATATAAATCGTAACAACCATTCTAACAGATGATTAAGAAGATCTGATGGGATCGTACAACTAAATAATAATTGATCATATCTTTGAATTGAAACTTGAAAACAATATGACAATCAGTGCCTTTGTATAAATAATGATTATTTATTTAGGGCATCATCAGAATCAAGATTGTTAGAGTGGGTGATTACCAATTAAATTAATTATCACGTGGTTAATGGGTAATGATTAAGATGAGATCGTTAAATTAAATCTCAAATGGCTTACACGTTTACAATGCAGAATTGATCAAGATTTGAGTCCTTAATCCAAGTTTGTTAAACAAATCTAGATTAATTTCACGATAACAATTTCTTGCAACTATTTTCTTTTTGTCGTTAGGAAGTCCTGTCTTTCCCCACGTCCACCACGAGTTTGATCCCAAAAATATTCCACATTTTCCACGAGGGAATATACCCATTTATCGTGGATGGAACAGCATTGAGAAGGATGTATGACTATTTCGAACATTTGGTAATTGCTCGCGTCATTTAGAGCAAACGCGAGTGTTTACGTAAGACAAAAGTTTGGTTCCTCCAACTGGACAGTAACAGCTTATGTATATGGACCTTGTCAAACATGCAAGAAATGTGTTTAGATTTCCTATCAATTAAAGATGTTTAGATGCTGTCCAGAAACAAAGTAATACTTTAATATATATATATATATATATATATATATATATATTGTATGGAGTTCGAAAAACATATTTTGAAGTTCTCTATAATTTTCTTTACAAGTTTTTTAATTGTTTTCTAAATGAATACAACATTTTTATTTTATGCACAGTCACTTTTTACCAATGTCAAACATTAAAATTATTTTTTACATTTCCATATTTAGTACCATGGTATTTGATTCACCAAATACATCATTATTTTATACTTTTTAGTGCGTATGGGGCAACCCAATCCTTGCTTTTCAGGTTTTTAATCTTTAATTTTTTTGAATCAAAATATTTAAATAATAAGAAATCTACTCTTGACAGAAATATAAGTAATATGTGTTGTATATGTAAATACTAGATGTGACAACATGTGGAACTCGTCTATCAATAAAAAAAAAAAATTATAAAATAATAATAATAGCTAGATGTAAACCGATATGTTAAAATAAGACTTTTCTTTTTTCAATTCACAAATATACCTTTTTCATGATAAGTTTTAATTTGAATGAAATGAAATTAATTATTTATAATTAGATATCCACCGATACAATATATATATATTTTGCGTTTTTTAATTATTTTTGAGCGTGGGTTAATTAAATTAGTCCTCATGTTTAATTTTCTTAGTGGCTAATATGTGGTCATATTATTGGGATGGATCCTTGTATTTGGATATTTATTTTATTAGATTAAATTCATATGCTTCTGATTTGACTTGGACACTCTAAGATAAAATACTATATATGCATGAAAGAGTCCTTTTCTATTTTGTAGTAGAATAGTCAGCCAGGGTTGATTTTTATAATCCAATTAGAACAAGTTTTACCAACTCTAGTAGTAGTAGTTAAGTAAACCTTTTGTTACTTTGTAAGGAGTTCTTTTTTTTTTTTTTCGAATATTGATAAGAAAGTTGGAGATTTTCTCGAAATTTATTTGTATATTTCTTTACTTGGACTAATTAGGATTTTATGAATAATCCTTAAATTTATCGATTAAAGTGGATTCAAATCAATTACGCTCAAGTATTTGTAATGGTGTGTTTAAAATTCCACAAGATTTAGGCATCTCTCAATCTAATGTCAAAATACCATCTTTATGTTTCCGAGTTTTCAACTATGAATTTTTTCTTGTCTTTTAGGCCTAAAATAAAAATGGCCTGGATATGTTAAGATTGACACAAGTTTGAAGCAATTTACCAAAGATTGGGCTTAACAATTTATGATCTGACATAAGTACTGCCAAACATATATGAATATGGTTTAGATATTTTCAAATTTTTAGTGTTTTTTCTTTCAAAGACTCCCATTTCATTTTCAAATAAAAAAATAAATAAATTGCTTTATATAAAAGATTCAAATCTTTAAACTTATTGATAACATTTTATCTACAACAACGTAAATTTATAGTTGTTTTGACAAATAAATTAAAATTTAAGTTTTTCTTTTTACTTTGAGGGAATAATTTTCTTGCTATGATAGTTTGGGCTTCTTTTGTGTGTATTTTGAACATTTTTTTAGTTTTAATTTTTTTTTATGGATTATTTTTATATGAGCAATTCTAAGCATAAAAAAGATATGATATGAAAAAAAACTTTAAAAATTGTACATAGATAGTTAGATCATTATTTTAAAGTGAGACTTACTTGTAGATTGATATATATATATATATATTCAAGCTTGTTTTATCATCCTCTAAATATTTTCAAACAAAGCTAGAGGGCCATCCAAAAAGCCTTAGGCCCTAGTAAGGCCTGAGGTTTCAAAAAATTCAGGCCGGCCGGGTTTGCCTAGGAAAATATTAAAAAAAATCAAATGAAGATCGATCGAAATTAATGAGTGAATACAATATTATTCATCTACCAAAATAATAATTTTGCCCATTTTTTCAAAATTATTTTTTAATTAATTATATGTTTTTCAATAATAATTAAGGATATTTTGGGAAAGGAATTTCTGTAATATTTTTTTAAAACATTGAGGAGTTTTGTGTTATATTTTCAAACTTTTAGTTATTCTTTATAATTTCATGATATTTTACGGAGGTTATTAGAATTTATCTTAAAATTACCTTGAAATTAGTTTAATTTTCAGGATGTTTTTGAACAATTTGTAAGATTTCTTTGTCTGTTAATGGAGATTGTAGAGTTTTTATTGGGGCAGTGGTTTCCCTTGCTCTTCCTTTCGACTAAAAAATAAATTTCCTTGATTTACTACAAGAAAACGGGCGAACATTGAATTTAAGCATCAAACTACCATAGTTAGAAAAAGAAATTAATAATAATATCATAAATCCACCGACGAATCCTGCAACTTCTTTTATTTCCTGATTCTAATGGGTCCAGAATCCATTCTGACCATCAACTACATGTACTTTGCCAGTTGCTAGTTTTTTTTTTGTTTGTTTTTTTTTTTTTTGGGTTCGCAAAATTACTCATATTGCCGTAAGAGAAATGCTAGCAGAACGGCAAAGATGCCGAAGACTAATAAGCTTGTAGCTCTCAATTTGCATTCATGTCTCCTTTATATGTAACGAAAACGAAAACGTTACAAGGTGAGCTCTCTCCAGTAACGATAATGAGAAGTGCAGAAAAGTAATAATAAAACAATATACATATCTCTTTCCCTTTTGCTTTCAATTCAAGATCAAATAGAATAAATAACTCTTATTTTATGACTATTCATTGATAAGTGCATTGATTCTTGAGAGAAATTGCGCGACTCATTTTTTTAGGATCCATGACCACAGGGCACTCGATCCTTCTGTAGAATCTGGACTTGACCAGCTTGCCTAGAACATAAGCTCTTGATCTAACCATGAAGTTAAGTATCAATGGCACGGGTTGAATTGGTGCACCGTTCAAACTGCTCAAGCTTGCTCCCCCTCCATACAATGGAATTTTACTCCCTTTTACCAATACTGTTAACGTTCTTTGACTCTTTCTTGGTTGATAGAACTTAGTTATCTGCAATTCCCAGTTTGGTAAGTCTCAGATATTAATGGAAACTCAAACACTCAAACAAGTAAAGGATATTTTTTTCAGTAAAGAGAATTAATTAGGAGGGCTTGGTGCTTACAGTGCCAGTAGCCACAGTGAGTTGAGAGTAAGATAGATCCAGAGGTTTTGATGTAACATGGACACCGAAAAATGTAGCAGTGTTGCGAAATGTGAGCTTCACTGTGCAGTTCATTGACACCATTTCTGTTGCCACTCCAGAGAAGTCCATTCCAGCTTGTACAATAAATTGATCGAACATTATGTTCTACAGGCAGAAAAATCAATACCTCATTCATCACTATACAAGTCATTCAAATACCTTTCTTTGATCAAATAAGATGTAATAACAGAAGAAGCTAAACAAATGACAATGCTATTCATTTATGGAACATTGGATTTGTACCTTCATGGTGATGGTGGGTTTTTGAGGCCGACTTGCGCCCCAAAGAATCAAGGAGAACAAAGAGAAGAGCATGCAGAACCCCACAATGAAAGCAAGAAAGTAGCAGCGACGAGGAATGCCATGTGGGCCAATATCACCATCAAGAAGTCCTTCTTCTTCAATGGCGTCGAATCCTTTCCAGGGCTTTCGGCCTTTGCTATTGGATCCATCGGTCTTGTGTTGCTTGTGAGGCTTAAGGGAGGCAGAGTAGCGTGTAGAGGAGGACTCGCGGGAATGAGGCCCTAAGGAAGAGTTGGAATGAGAGTGAGGGGGTGAACCCACTGGGCTAAGTACAGGAGTAGAGTGGAATGAGTTTGTGGTTTTTTCGCCGTCATGGGAGTCTCTTGATGGACTCTGCACATAATATACAGGGCGGCGGGGAGGCGATGACGTTGTGGGTGATGATGGAGTTAGGCTGCTCGCTTCTGAGTCTGTCTTCGATAGTTGAGCCGACATTGTTGTTTTTATTGTTGATCGAGCAAGTCGTGCTTATAGAGGTTGAGTTCTGATTTTGCAGAAGATCCGTGAACAAGTGATGAAGAGGAAGACAACTAGGTTGTTTGCTATTTTTTGTTTAGTGCAGGATCTCCAGAACGTACGCTATGGGGACGCACGTTGTGTTTAGATTTGTTTTATGTTATCGAAGTCTTGTTTATGATGGCGATTAATAGGGGAAGGTAGAATTGACTGTAAATAGCTGGGATTGTCTACTTGAGTTTTTATTTTTTATTTTTCATCGCATAGTTTTATTTTTCAAAATTTTCGCTATGATGAGGTCAATGAGGAGTGATGTTGGTGGTAGTTTCCATGCTGAAATCATGCAGTTTATAGCCAGAAAACTCGTCAGTTGCAGCAATTCCTGTACTCTAACATAGACCTACCAATTTCCTGAACAAGGTTCGTGCTTTCAGATAAGTTTTTCTAGAAGGCTAGTCTTTTTTCTGTTGGCTCTAACATGATTGAGTCCAGTACAAGTGATTCCAGTTAATACCATCAATAAGCCAGTAATATCTGTTTCTCTTTTGTTGACTCTCTTCATTTTCTTTGTACAATAGTATGATATTGAAGTCTTAGAGACAAAACCATCAAGTCTAGAAAATTTAAATGGGAAAGCATGAAGTTTTAGAGAGAAAACCATCAAGTCAGGAAATTTAAATGGGAATGCTTGAATTTTTAGAGACAAAACCATCAAGTCTTGACAATTTAAATGGGAATGCTAAGACAAGCATTATGTAACAAATCTAAATCCTTATTTGAAGTAAAACCACACCACAAGCACAAAATCCATTTAATGATTAGCAGGATCTAACTAGAGGACTCTCCTCAGTTCTCACATGCCAGGGCCAGGCTGCCAAAAAAAAAAAAAAAAATTTGGGTTGACCCAAATGGGCATTGATTACTTATTATACTTTTCTTAGCTCATTGTCACATGATTTATATTTCTTTCCTTTCTTATCATACGTTATGGTCTAACCAGTGACCTCATTCCGTCCTCCTTGTCTAAATTCCCATGTTTTCTGGTGGGCTTGATACGAGCCTTGGACCATGATACGAGGATTGCGGGTCTTAGGCCTTACGAACGTGGAGAAAGCCGACCATTCAAGTTAAAATGACTCAATACGGTTCTCATGTGTTTGACACCAAAGTCTGCTTTTACTAGTTGCAAACTCTACAACTAAAACGTACAAACTGCTATTTTGGTCAGCATGTGGTTCTGCTAGGTTCCAAATTCTACACGAGAGATGAAACTAAGTCACAGAAAATGTGGTAAAATGTAGACAAAGGCTTCAATATTGGACAAAAATATGCATTTGCTTCCACCAATAGAACATTATTTGAGCAAATCTTACATGGATCAACTCCTATTCCTATCATGATCTGATTTGTGCCAGTTCTAAAGTACAGATGAAATACCTTCAATTTTCTATGGAGTAGTTTACTAGTAAGACTGACTGATAAAGTTCGTTTTTTCTAGAGAATTTGGGCTGAGTCTGGTGACTGCGATAGTGTAAAGTGATAATATCTATACTTATCTTACAGGGTTAACGTTATCTTATCCAGTAGTAAAAGCTTATCATGTAAAACCTATTAAAATACAACTGCCCTAACCAGTTAAGGGTAAGCATCAATATTATTTACACTGTATCCGTCAATTGATCTTGGAAAACCCTTTTTTCTCTTATCATGGCCGCCTTCTCTTCATCCTCCCTATCCTCTGCTCTCTTTCACGTTAATATTGGTGATTTTGTAATAGAAAAAATTGACATGAATAATTACCTGACTTGGTCCTACCTTTTCAAACCCATTTTGGTTATTCGTGATCTTCTGGATCATATATCTCCCAACTCTTCTATTCCTGATGAACATATTCCTTCTTTTGATAAAAAATCAACCGATCCCAATCTAGTGTTTGTTGCTTGGATCAAGGTTGATAAACAGATTCTCAGTTAGATCAATGCAACTGTGAAGCGTGAAGTTCTTCCTCTTCTTTATCGATCTAGTACTGCTTCTACTGCCTGGTTGGTCTTGGAGTCTCACTTTCTTAACAAATCCATAGCTAGAGAACTCCAACTAAAATTTAGTCCTAACAAATTGGTGAAAGGCAATCTCTCCATTGAGTGTTGATGCTTACTGTCAATGCTATAAGGAAATAGCTGATGCTCTTGCTGCCATACAATAGCCCCTCACTGATCGTGAACAAGTTAAAGTCGTATTTTTCAAGTTCTCCCTTCTTCTTATAAGTCCTTGGTGACTATTGCATCCAATAAAAAAACCCTTGCCCACGTTTGCTGAACTCTAGACAATGCTTTTAAGCCACGAAGCTCGCCTTGCCAACATTCACTCTATTTCTTCTAATGCCATCTCTCTAGTCTAAATAACCCTTCTCTCCACTCAATCCATTCCCAATTCTTCTTTTTCATTGCCAAATTCTTTCTCAACATCAGCTGGTTTCCCTATGTACTTTAGTTCATGAAGTAGGGGTGGTTATTGTCGTTGTGATTGCGGGAATAGGGGCAGAGGTCATGGAGGCTATTTTCCTCAGTCTTCTAATTTTAACTCTGGTCATGGTCGTGGCATTTTAGGGCCCTCTCATCTCTTCCTTTTGCAATCTAGACAGTCACTATTTTAGGGAACATGTTACTCCTGTGGTGCCTTTGGTCACATTGCTGCATCTTGTCCCAATCGCTCGTCTGGCAATTTTGATGTGGCTATTTAGTTTATAGGACTATCCTTCATCTCTCTTGGTACCTTGATACAGATGTTACTTCTCACATGACAATTACATCTGGTAAGCTTACTTCTCTATGTTCCTATTCTGGTTCTGATCATGTGGCTGTAGGAGATGGTTCCATCATTCCAATTCAGTCTGTTGGTAATGCTTCTATCCTACTTTTTCCTGTATTTTTCTCTTCCACGTGTACTATTTATTCCTCTTTTACAAAAGAATCTCATCTCTGTTTGTAAATTTACTCGTGACAATAACTACTTCTTTGAATTTCATGCATGGGGATTCGTAATCAAGGACTAAGATTTCTCTTATGACTAGATGCATGTATCTTTTAATGTTTTTTTAGTGACTAAATTCATTGAGAATGTAGGTATTTTATATGAGATAATTCATGTATTTAGTATTTATTATGATTCATGTATAGAATATTAATTATAGTTCATGTAACTAGAATTAGCAATACCTATATATATCCCTTATATTTGGCATTTAAATGTATGTGAGTAAAGTGAATATTACAAATATTTCTTCTTTAGAATTCCTCTCCCTCTAACAAAATGGTATCGAGTCAAAATCCTAAGAGTTAGAAAAGAGTGTTAGAGAAAAAAATTAGAGAGATGGCAAACAATGGAATTCTTTCATTCCATTTTCCTTGTCTTACAAAAGAAAAGTATGAGAGTTAGTGTCTTCGTATGAGAGCATTACTTGGCTCTCAAGATGTATGGAATATTGTAGAAAATGGTTATGAGATTCCTCAATATAAAGACAATCTTTCTCAAAATGAGAAGGATGCTATGTCAACGACAAAGAAGTAGGATCAACAAGTCCTCACTCTCATCCATCGGTGTTTGGATGATTCTATGTTTGAAAAGGTGGTCGATGCAACCACAACGAAGCAAGCTTAGGAGATTTTGAAAAATTCTCTCTAGGGAGTTAACAAAGTGAAGATACTTAGACTTCAATTACTAAGGGGTGATTTTAAGGCCTTGAGAATGATGGAATCCGAGTCAATTTTGGATTATTGTTTTAGGGTGAAGGCAATTGTGAATTAATTGAAGAGATATCACTAAAACAAAATGAGGTTATAGGGGTACTATTCTTGAGGCGGTTTACAAACCTCGCCTTAAATTTTGTTAATATATTAAGTTTATTGAAAACATATGGGGCGGTTTTCAAATTTTAAAGAGAGGCGTCCATTTTATTTCTAACATTTTATTTATTTATTTATTTATTTTTGGTTCGAAACTGGGAAAGACTCTTCATCTTCTCTCTAATTTTAATTAGGGTTTTCAGCTTCTTCTTCTTCCACTTAATCATTCTCCACGATCTCGCTTTTTCCTTCTTCTCATCTCGCTTCTTCATTTCTAATTTATTTTTTTTGTTTTTGAAAGGGAGAAGGTCTAAAGCTTTTCATCCGCTTCTTCGTTTCTAAAAGGGTATCACCTTCTTTACCTCCGATTCTTCTCCTCTCGTTTTCTCTTCTCTTCTACTTCTCTGTTTTTATTTTTATTTTTCCCGGGTTTTGGAAGGAAGAATAGACGGTTCATATACCTCTCCTCTTAGGGTTTTCTTTCTTCTCTCGCTTCTTTCTCTTCTCCTCTATTTCTTTCTTCTTCTTCATCCTTCTTCTCCTCTCGCCTCGTCCTTCTCTTCTTCTTGTTAAAAACTAAATTATACCCATCAATCAATAATTTTAAGAGTCTTTTCTATCCATAAATCGGCTTATTTCAAATCAATTGGGTACTCATTGTTGATTTTCCCTTTAATCTCTCTAATGTAAGTGTACTAAATTGATTTTATGGCCAATGAATTAGATTATGTTTAAATTTTTTGTTTGTGCTCTTTTCTTTTTTAATTACCTTTAATTTTTATTTTTATTTTTAATGAGTATTTTATGGCTAAGAGGATCATAATTCCCTTGTTTGTCATGTTTGGTGCCGTAGGCATGTGCTCTATACAAGGCTTAGTTTGTGCTAGGATTGGTTTCATTTGATGGTGGCATGCTTTTGATATTTCTAGCTTGAAGATCCTGTAGAAGTCACTCGTTTGTGCTAGAGAAACTCGGTATATCTCTAAATATGATTAGAAATTCGTTAATCGGGCATCTAACCTTTCTTTTAAAACCTCCACAAGTTTTAACATTGTCACCTTTTATCCCGTTATAATGCTCCCAATGTTATTTCGGTTTGTACCAATATAGTAATGTATGGTCAGTAACGGTTAGATT